TATATTATATTATATTATATTATATTATATTATAAATGGAATCACATACATTTTCATAATTCAAAACTAAAAATAATTATAATTATCATTGTGTATTTAAAGTGTAAGGAAAATATTTTATTACTTGTTTCACCAGGAGATCAAGTTATGATATTTTAAGTACAATTTTACAAGGTCAACATTAAAAAAAAATTATGCATGAATAAAACATGCAAACAACTGAATTTTTTTTTCAAAAGGGTATGTACTTTTTTTTTAAATACATGAAAGCAACATGAATATTAAAATGACATTTCTAATAACTTAAAATTATAAACTACTTTTTTTTAATTAAGATTTCTTCTTTTCATCACCTCAGATACAAATAAAGAATTTGTCATTATGCTTTCTTATTAGCTGTATACGCTTTAAAGTAAACATTTACAGAAAAATAGAATATTTTGGGATACCTTAGTATTTAGAAATAATATTTGGATACTTGTGGTGTGTAAGAGTATCATACCATGTTGATTTCTGATATGGTGTCTATGCTGGCGATATCCAGACTCATTCCTACAGTAACAGGCCCATCTGAAGAAAAAAAAACACAACAACAGCATGCACTGCATTCACTACAGAGTGACAACACTGCTAACAGAGAAAGACAGCAGAAAAGGGTTCTTAATTTACATGCGTTACAAGAGTGGACTGCATCAACTCAAGCCCGGAGCGTTTCCACTGAGTTTACATTTGTTTTAATTGTAGTTGTTGATGATGATAGGACTTTAAGAGAAGATAAAAATCCACTTATGCAAGATAACAGTTTGTGTAAATGTAAAAGCTTTGATCGTCGTACTGCCAAAGAATGGCCTAAGGTACTTGTTGTATCCCTTCATCAGTTTCTGAATGGTGGGAGGCAAGATCTCCTCTGTGCTGGCGACAGAGCCATCCATGCTCCTGTAAAAACAGCAGAACACAAAACACACAAATACACACACATTAAGCACTCACTATTCCACAAGTCAGTGCAGAAAAGCAGAAAGGCAATGTTACTTCCACCGAGCCAAGGCATGTTTTGATCATGTGGACTTAATTGCCAATAACTTATGACCTAGATTTGAAACACTGTATTTTTAGGCTTCATCTTTTCTCTCGTTAAAGCACTGCTGCTGACTGTGGCGTGGTGTGCGATTTGAACATCCTCAGCGATGGTAGAAGCGACTGTGTTCTTTCCCGCAGAGCGAAGCCTCTGTTTCTACAGTGTAAAAGGCCCATGAGCTTCAGATATTATTCAGCTTCAGGGTAACAACCCCACAGAGCACAGCAGCACATGTAGGAAATACTTCAAGAGACGTCTGAGGAGAAAACCTGCTTGGTTGATACTACACAATACCCTTATAAATATTCTAGAATGAACAGAAACAAGTACTGTGGGCCAAGCACAGCAGGAGGACAGAGGTACACGTGGATTTTTACTGCGGCAGATCTCTTCTGTCCCTTCTGTAGCTCTCTCAGACATCACCCTATACAATATTCTTCTTCTTCTATAAATACATACAGTCAGGTCCAAAAGTCTGAGTGTACATTGGATATCTGAGATTCAAAATGGACATAAATAGAACGTTTAGGGAGTTACAATGAAACAATTAGAGCAATAAAACATTCTGATGTAAAATGAATTGGAAATATTTAAGATTGTGCAGCAGTTTTAGATCTCTAATCAAAGAAGATTTGCGATATTGACTTATATGTGACTGATTTATGCAATGTTTTTGCTTTCACTGAATCTCAAGATGCTCTTTGGATCATTCACAAATTATACTGAAACCCTCAGTCATCAGATTTGACAAACTTGTGGAGTTCATGCAACTCGAGTGCTGCACTCATTAAAATAAAAGATGGACAAATCAAATGTTAGAACATTATGAAATGCATGTTAATTTTGCTCACAATATACAGTACTGTTCAAAAGTTTGATTAAATAGATAAAAAGTGACAGTAAAGATGTTTAAAATGGTACAAAAGATTTCTATTTCAAATAAATTATGTTTTTGAACATCATAAAAGGCTTCCAAAAAAATATTAAGCAGCCCAACTGTTTTCAACATTAATAATAATATGAAAGAAATAAGATAATAATAAGAAATGTGTCTTAATAAACTTCAGCTTATTAGAATAATTTCTGAAGATTCATGTGACACTGAAGACTGGCGTAATGGCTGCTGAAAATTAAAATGTATGATATATTCAGATATGAATAATATTTCACAATACTGCTGTGTTTACTGTATTTTTGGTCAAATTAATGCAGCCATAGTGAGCATAAGAGCATTATATTTTTATTTCAAAAACATAAAATAATTTTACTGACCCCCAAATATAATTTGCAAAATAAATAAATAAAACCGTATCAGGAAAAATCCATTCTGTATAGGCTATTGACTTAAACCTAATTCAATATAAACATGATTTTCAAAATCAGGTTTGCCAGAAACACTCATCTGAAACTTTCACATTCACCTGTATAAGGTATGAGACAATTTTCTGACATTTTCACCCATATGATGTACAGAATTATGCATGCTAAAATGCACACACATACTTGCATGAAGAAAAAAGACTGGGAAAGATCAAAAGAGAGGAAGTGAGACAGATGTTGAGAGAGTGTGAGAGACACAGAGAGTGTTTGGAAGACAGACAGAGAGCTCTAGGTCATTGACATGATGGCTCTATTATTACTCTCATTAAACTGTTACTAAAATCTAAAAATAAAAAAAATCAATAAAACAAGAAGTGAACCATGCAGGTCACTGCCTCTACATTACCCCCTCTAAACACATAAAGCTGTTGGAAAACATTTTTCACCTCTCAGACACATCTGATCTTGTTCTGCATCACTACAAACTTGGTAGAAAAAAAACTTTTTGCATGATGTATAGCTATTTTCACTGGTAAGCACAGCTAGCGTTTCAGAATGTCTGTTTTTCAGGATGCTTTTCTTGATGAAGTCTGACTCCACATGCCACATGATAAAGCTGAAGTGTGCAATTTTTTGATGTTACGATATTTTCTCCTATCTCAGCTTAATAAGCAGAGACAGCTAAAAGTAAGCCATTTGTAGGTTGTTTTCCCCCTCAAAATGTGTAACACTGTGTCTCTGTGGTGTAGCAAAACATTGCTCTGTTTGTTTAAGCATCCCGACACAGCAACACTGGCTCAACCAATGACGTGACTTTGGAGGTGGGACTATCTGACAATCTGACCAATGGTAAACTGTCATTATTTTTGCAATATTTTTGCAATTCTGACACTAGTGTGACAAAGAAAAATTACACACTGAAGCTTGGTCATCCATGCTAGTCAGAAAATCAGGATGGAGTTTTACCTTTGGGGGCTCAATAATTCTATAAACGAATTTAGTAATCTGTCATGTGAGGAAAACAGGTAATTTGGGTTAAATAAAAAAATAGCCATATCATCAAAGCAATGCCATTTGTGTTGTTTCATCTTAAGCTGTGTGAATTTTAAATCAAACAAACTTCTTCTAAATGGAACTGAACGAAAATAAAAAGAGTGATTATGTGCCAGACTTGTCTATTTAGTAAGATTAGACATTTTTAGTGTTAGAAGGCAACACTTTGTTTGCTGCCCCCTTCAGGCTGAAGTCCAGTCATGTGTGAGGGAATGCTGGGTTATTGGTCTATGAATGCTGGGTAGACAGTTTTTCTCTGCTAACTGTGGCAGCTGATAAGCATCCATCATACTCTTATAGGCATTTAACATTGTATTGATATTCATTTGTTACATGCTTTGACTCTTTATGTGAAATATGAAATGGCTGATGTGCTTGCAATTTATTTTACTTCCATATTGTTATGAATTTTGTTCGATGTCTAAAACAAATGCTTCTTTTAAATTATATATTTTAATGAACAGATTGAACCATGCTACTAAATTTAATGACCAGATTGAATACAATTCACTGCATTGGACTGAAATGCAGTTCTCAAGACGGACTTGAAGAACTTAAATTTAACTCGTAGTGTGAAAAGTAAGTATTATTACAAATGTTACAAGTAAACCTAGTGGAAATATGTTTTACAAGTTGGTTTTAATAACTAGCATTAGGATTTATTAAGATTAGGATTGTTTTTTAGCCAAGTGATATAAACAATATTGTTTAATGTAAATGCATTAAATTAAATATAAAACAAAATGACATATAAATTTATTTTCATTTTGCAGAAAACTGCTAAATATGATGGAGACACACAATAAATTTAATAAATACGATTAATAAATCTTAAAGGGGTCATATGATGCGATTTCAAGTTTTCCTTTCTCTTTGGAGTGTTACAAGCTGACTGTGCATAGATAAGATCCCTGAAGTTGCATGAAAAAAGCCATGCCAGGATGTCCCGGAACCAGGATGTCATTATGTTAAATAAATTCTGAATATGTATTTTGAACTGATTCTTTAAAGCTAAATGTTTGCATATATATATATATATATATATATATATATATATATATCTGAACTATGTATATATAATTTTTTTTTTTACCTTTATACATTTTCTTTCTTAGTTCTGATCCAACCTTGAGACTAAATTCAGCCACGTCTCTGGTGTTTAGGCTGACTGACGTGTTGTGAATGGAGAAAAAACTCTCCTAGCAGGACTGTCTCCCCAAATGTTTCTGCTTTGGTCCGCAGAGACAGTTTCTCAAGCTTGTATCAACTCCATCTCCCCGTCTACACACATCAGTGGTCATATGAGATATGAGCTCCAACATCACAAACTCTCTCTCTCATAGAGTATCTGGGAGACCTTGTCCAGCACTGAAATATTAAACAACCCCAGAAAGTTTGTGCAGAAAATAATTTAAGTTTGAATGTTTTTAAACTGATAGAAAACAGTCTGAAACAGCAATAAACCAAATAAATAAATAAATACGCAAGCAAGCTTGCCGGGCAATGTGTTTATTGAAACTAGTGAGTTCAGAGTGATGATGACCTAATTATTTTCACCACTCTGATTTGGTTTGGATCTAGTCTGGTTTACCCAGAAGTGTGTGTCAAAGAAATTAATGCTTACTATACTGCGGGTTCATGCATTAAATATGGCTTTTAAAATAGATCATTCAGCAGTGATTCTCATCTACAAAACAGTCCTACAGTATATTTATATGTTTCTACAGATCTCTGCCAACTGACCTATAAAATATAACTTCAATCATGGGGAGTTTTCTTTGAAATAACATTTAAAAGGGTCATATTATAAATATTTTTCTCTAAGGTCCAATTATAATGTTAGTACATTTTTTGTGCCAAATAACATTTTAGTTTTTTGTGCCCATTTCAGCCTCTCACTGAATCTTGAAACTAAACAGGCATGTGAAACACCTCTTTTCTTTGCCAAATCCTAAACCCTCCAACATTATTGCCATGTAATATTACTATAAGCGACTTTGAGCTTGTTTTTCATAAAGTCACTAACAAATTTGGGCAGTGGCAGATTGCATTTTATAGGCTTATTTTTCCATAATACACATGGGTGTTCAAGAGAGAGTGAGTGAGAGAAGAACGAGAGAGAGAGACACAGTCATTGAATTGGGTTGACCAGTCATATATGCAAAACATTTTAATTATTTGTGTATACAGTAAATGCAGTTTAGAATTATTTTATGTTTTATGCTTTCACTTTATCCCTGTCAGACTTTGTTCCGTGTTTTGTGTGTTTTCCTCCCCCACATGCTCTGTCGATGTTTATGCCCTTATTTGGTCCTTCCTGCTCCTGTCCGTATGATCATTTAGTGCAGGTGTTCCCAGTTTAGTTCGTATTGTTCCCAGGTGTGTCCCATTAGTTTCTGGTCATTTAAACCCTGTGTTTCCTAGTGTTTGGCGTCTGCTGTTAAATGTCATTTTTGTGTGCTTGATGTCTCCAGTGTTCCCTGTATCCCCAGCGTGCCTTCATTAAAACCTTTTGATTTGCATTACTCCTCATCTCCCCGCTCCTTGAGTGAACCGTGACAATCCCAGCTAAGAAGGAACATTCTCAGCTAATATTTGGCAAGGCTCTCTCAAAGTATGAACAAACGTTCCTCCAGTTATGTTGATAGTAGGGTTGATCAGAGTTACGGTTTTCACTAATGTTCTTAATGTTAGCACAAAAATGTTAGTTAAGTTATGCATCGTCTATGGAATGTTTTATTTCTGAAAACTTTTAGCTGGATGTTCTAATAACCTTATTTAAATGTTACTTGTTTCAGAATGTTAAGAGAACATTCAAAATTAACGTTGTTTGCAAAACTATAAAATGGAATGTTCCCTTAAGGGTCACGTTTTTTTTACCCTACATATATCACACATAATCACTGCAAAAAAATTGAGGTTGCCAGCTGTTGCAAATAACTAATTTGCATGACATCAACGGGCCAAATTTCGAATCACCCAACAGACTTCATCGAGCTGTTTTTGCAGCTAGGTTTAAAAAAATGTTTTTTGTTGGAAAGTGACTTTGGATTCGGGAAGTTAACAGTATGATTTCACAGTACCTCAAGCTCTTTTATCTCAAAAGATCAAGGAACATTTTTATGACATGGCCCTTTAAAATCCACCTAAACACTATTGGGTCTATATATGGACCTCAAACCAGTAGTTTTAGATTTCAACAAACAAAAACATTACAAGTCCCTTTGCAAGATTAAGCCTTCCTCCTTATCTTCATGTGCTAAGCTCTAAGAACCCAAAAAGGAGGTATGGCTCTTGTTGTTGGGGTTTGTTATGTGATGGAAGCTGAATTCCTGGCCAAACTATATGTACACCCACTAAAGTCTCCCAGCTTGCCAGAAAGAGAGACTGGAGATTGGAGGGGAAAGGAGGACAGGAAGGGGGTGGGGGAAAGCAGATGGTGAGGTGAATTGATGTTGGCACACTTCCTCAACATCCTCCTTTGATCTTTTGAGTCGTTCTGACCAGGTTCTACATCTTTCCATCAAATTTCAAAGGTCAGGCCAGAATACCAGCATCGACAATGAGATGCATATCTCATTAAATGGAATCTGCCTGAACTCTCATTGAACATGGCTGAGCGGTGGCCGTTCCAGTAAATCGACGTGCCTTGTCTCTACACTGTCACCAGTAATCGCGTTAGCATTGCAGCTACTGTACTGCTGCATGGAAAGATAAGCTCGAACAGGCAAAACAGAGAGGAGACACGATACGAGGGCTGTTATTTCCATCTGTAACCCATACATTGACTCCGACAGTCTCATTCAGGCTCACCCAAAAGTCTACAAGGATTAGCTATAATTCCATCCTTCCTTTAGCTAGACCTTTCACCAAGCCCACATAATCCGGTGTGAATGGATACTTAAGGCATATAGTCTTTTATTTGTTGCCAAAAGAATAAAACCTAAATTATACCCGGCTTGTCATCTCGGAAAAGATGTCACTCCGAGAGTTTATCACCCGGGAGAACTTGTTGACAAAAATGGGCTTTCCGCCTTGGCTTTCCTGTGAGCATTGAGAAACACCGTGTTTATCAACTCTACAAAGTCACTACAGAAGTGAATGCACATCCTACACTCTACAAGTTTTTGAGACAAAAATAAATTAAGGGGGAATGACACAAAAGCAATAAACAGTGTAGGATGCAGTCATATTTAGCTAGCCATATGGCAGTAATGAGTGTTGGAATAGCAAAAGTGAGTTCATAATAAGCCACCAGGAGTTTCTTACCTGCTGATGAAAAGGAGGAGGAGCAAAGAACCCACAGAGCTGCACAAATGCATGGCTGCTTGAGCGTTTCGCGTCTGACTGAGAAATGAGAGACAAAGAATGGAGAGATTATGTAGAGATTAAACAGATTTGTACACAGAGATTACGCATTACCGACAAATTTTGCAGTTAGAACCAGCGCTCAGCATTTTAGCTTGATGATCCAGGCAAAATTAGGACAGGTTTTCTCAATGCACATTAAGTGTGTCTAGGGACTGTTTAGTGACAGAAATATACCACTTACTCAAATTTTGATTTACGTTATAAGGTGATACCCTTAAAAATAAAGGCTTCATACTGCTTGCAGCATATTTTAAGACAAATTTTGAGGTAAGCAAAGGAGATAGGAAAATATATGGAAAAAGGATTTTCAATAGCAAATTTCAAATACTTGTGAATTATTTGTGAAACTTTGATACATTTGTCTTCTGAAATCTTTAACCTCAGACCTGTATGTATAAATTTAACCATTGAAAATGTGCACTCTGATGCATAATCCCAGAGCAACGAGTGAAATAATCCCTTAAAAATGTTTTAATGTTGGAATCCAGTTCACTCTCACAACAGATTTACTGATGGTGACATAAAACTTGATATAAACTGTGCATATTTCCAGGGAATTATGTAAAACCACTTTAGCTATGTGATCCCCAACTACACAAAGATGACTAGATACAACAGTATAAGTAGTATTTAGATTTTAAAATTATTCTCAATCCCCTCATTTTTGAATACTGTTCATTTGGCTCTAAACCTTTCGGTCTTGTAAATAACACAGCTTTTAGCTGGCCCTATATTTCAGAGCTACTTTTTATCTTCTTGATATCTATTTTGAGCCTTGATGGCAAAAATAGTCTGTGATTCTTTGCCCAGTCTTCCAGCACCATTGCAATCTGTGTGCAGCTGTGACGATGAGTTTGAGACAACAGACGTCTGCCCTGAAGCCTGTGTTCATAAACACACAATGTGCAGGAAGAAGCAAAAATGCTTCAGTTTTCGATCGCATGGATAGTGCTATTGAAAGCAGTCAAGGTATATTAAAGTGGTCATATGATGTTGCTAAAAAGAACATTATTTTGTGTATTTGCTGTAATGAAATGTGTTTATGCGGTTTAAGGTTAAAAAAACACATTATTTTCTACATACTGTACATTATTGTTTCTCCTCTACGCCCCGCCTTTCTGAAACGCGTCGATTTTTACAAAGCTCATCGGTCTGAAAAGCGAGGTGTGCTCTGATTGGCCAGCTATCCAGTGCGTTGTGATTGCCGAATACCTCAAGCGTGTGACGGAAATGTTACGTCCCTTACCATATTGTGATGCCCTGTCTGGCCGGAGCGACGAGACAAAAACATTAAAACCCATTATAAACGAGGCATTTGTTGCATCCAGTGGGGACATAATTACGGATTATAATGACTTATACTCTCTTTTTATGCGTTGCGTTGCATTGCGCCGCATAAACATAAAACCATGTCTACATTTGTGATCAGAGAAATTACAAACCACAAGTGCTACTCTACACTGCTCAAAACTCACGTTTGAATCATCAGTGGCAAATTCTTTAAATATAAAAAATGTACTTACAGTCTGTGAGCCAGAACAGCTGGCATTGTAGTCTACTCTACCAGGATCAGGAAACAGTCCTCCATAAAATGTGCTGCACACATCTGAATATTTGGGTTGAACTGTTCTGGAACAGTGTTATAAATACAACTTAACCACTGATTTCTAGTCGTGTCCTCTTTTGGAAGACCAAACAAAGTAGTTACGCTTTCATTACAATAGGCGAGAATAAAAGTTATGCCTTCTTTCTTTGCGTGAACATTTGGGCGGCAATATGCAAATCTTCCCACATCGTGACGTAGACATGTGGGGGCGTGTTAGAATGAGCCGTTTTAGGTAGGCTTGGTTGACTCTTAACTTTTATAAAGAATATCTCTTTAGATTTGAGACTTTAGTCTTTGCAACTTTACAGATCTTCTTTATGCACCAAAGAGCTTTTAACACTCCAAAGAGAAAGGAAGAATTGAAACCGCATCATATGACCCCTTTAATATCATGTAATCGTGTAGACATGGCCAAACAAACACAAAACTGTCATGTTGTTAGCATGGAAAAAATCTGTTGACCCAGATTAATGTTAATAATGTTTTAAACAAACCATCACAAACAAAAAACACACTGAGATGTTCTTCCATTCTGCCTGTCAGAGCTATTACATCCAGATTGCTCCACATACATTTAATTAATTAATTTTTATTTTAACACTCCTGTCTCTTTTCTACTCATCAGCTCTTCATGATGGATTGTGGAGGAGGCGGGTAGCAGAATAAGTACCGCTGTTCCTGACAATGGTAAAGCAAGTTACCACAAGTGCATATTTCTTGTTGTAAGTCAAACTGAGGTACAAATTACAGAAAGTGTCTTAAAGGGATATTTTACCCTAAACATCTAAAATCTTGATGTTTCCTGACTTATTTGTACCTGCATGCATGAAAAGTGCAGTCTTCCCACACACATATAGTCTTCTCTCCGTTGCAAAAGCTGTTCTCTTCTCTCTCATTCCTACCCTAGTGGTTTGTGAGTCAGTGGCTGCTCGGAGGATCCTGATCTTAAGACTGAGGTGTCACTCATTTACAGTGACAGATGACATCTTCCATGAGGTCTGGACCTTGAATGAATGAATGAATGAATGATGCATTTATATAGCGCTTTATTGTGCACTGCTGTACACCCAAAGCGCTTTACAATCATGTGGGGGGTCTCTCCTCAACCACCACCAGTATGCAGCATCCACTTGGATGATGCGACGGCAGCCACAGGACAACGGCGCCAGTGCGCTCACCACACACCAGCTAAAGGTGGAGAGGAGAGAGAGTCATAGAGCCAATCAAGTGGATGGGGATTAGTAGGAGGCCATGATAGACAAGGGCCAGTGATAGACAATTTGGCCAGGACACTGGGGTTACACCCCTACTCTTTACGAAAAGTGCCATGGGATTTTTAATGACCACAGAGCGTCAAGACCTCGGTTTACATCTCATCCGAAGGATGGTGCTTTTTGACAGTATAGTGTCTGTGTCCCCATCACTATACTGGGGCGTTAGGACACACACAGACCACATGGTGAGCACCCGCTGCTGGCCTCACTAACACCTCTTCCAACAGCAACCTAGTTTCCCAGGAGGTCTCCTATCTAGGTACTGCCCAGGCTCAACCCTGCTCAGTGGGCGACCAGTCTTGGGCTGCAGGGTGATATGGCTGTGGCTGTGTATTCTACCTTGATAGGGAGGACCCCACGGGAAGGGTAGACTGGACATGTTTAGCAACCTTTCCAGGAAACCCAGAAGGCCTGAAGCTGGGAATGCTGTGGTGGTCATGGGTTTTGTGTCTCCAGTGCTACAGATACAGTGCTTTGCCCTCTTGACTTTCTAATGTAATATTAGTACCATTCCAATGTTTGGGATCAGTAAGATTTTTTAAATGTTTTTGAATCTCTTAAAAAAAAGGTAATACTGACTTTATCTCACAATTCAGACTTTTTTCTCACAACTCAGAATTCTAGAGGAAAAATCCATAATTGCAAGATATAAACTCAGAATTCTTATTTTGTTCTTGCAATTTTAAGTTTACATCTCGCAATTTAGCCTTTTTTTTTTGTCATAATTCTGAGTTTACATCTTGCAATTATGCCTTTTTCTCCTTTAGAATGTCTCACAATATTGACTTTTTGCTCAGAATTTGCTCAGAAAGAGTTTATATCTTAAACAGTCTTAATTATGAGATAAAATGTCACAATTACCTTTTTTTCCTTTTAATTCCATTGCTGAAACAAGGTTCCATTCTTATACTCTCCAAGGCTGAAAAAACCCAACTGTTTTCTAGTTTTAAATATTTTAAAATCTAATTTATTCCTGTAATGGCAAAGCTGAATTGTCAGCAATGCACTGTTCCAGTCTTCAGTGTCACATAATCCTTCATAAATCATTCAAACATGCTGAATTTTGGCACAAGAAACATTGCTTATTATTACCAATGCTGAAAACATTTTTTTTTTTGTTAAAACTGTGCCTCATTTTTTCTATTCTTTAAAGAACAGAAACTTTAAAAAGAACAGCATTTGTTTAAATGATAAACCATTTGTAACATTAAAATGTCCTTACTGTCACTTTTGACCATTTAATTTCCTTATCCTTGCTGAATAAAAGTATTCTCTATTTTTTCCCCAAAAAATATCTTACTGTCTCCTTTTCACTTTTGAATGGTAGTATAATTAGGAGACCTGAGGGCTGGTCTGACATTGCTAAGCTACATCCATCTACAAAGCAAAGAGCCTCAGCTATTTTCTTTATTGCTCACCTTCTTGCTATATTGACTTCAAACACCAGATATCTCAGCGAGAATCTAGGTCAGTGAATGACTGATTTCTGTATCTCGCAACGGCAAGGTCCAATTACTGTTCTTTGACTAACTTAAAAATATCTCCACGAGAACCTTCTGAATTAATCATGAAAGCAAAACAGAAGCATAATGTGAACCATTTTGTTGGCCATATAATTTACTGAATAAAGATCTGTTTATTTTTTGCTGTTTATTTGTGTGTAACAGGGAAATCATCTCATCTCATCAGAATATTGTAAATAATAAAATATGGATGTGGAAGAGAGAGGGGGGGGTTTGTGTACAGGGTAAATATTATTATCCTGCCTTCAATAGAGATTATCTGGGCATCTCATGGCACCCAAGATAAACAGCTTTCAACACAACTGATCATATACCAACAGAGAACATGAGACATGCTGATTTGAAAACCAATGGAGAGCTTAGCCTTAAGCCCTCAGCTAATCGCGAGATGGAAACCTACACAGTTTCTCATAGTTTTTTTAGGCCACAGTCTACAGTAATGGATAGCAACAAACAGTGGTCACTACCAATAAGCCTTCATGTCACTTGAGGACGTCAATATAATCTCAATTCAAGAGGCTTAATGTAACTCTGTGCCTTCTTAACCTGTTAAGACACAGTATTCGTTCCAGTGCACATCACTTTTGGATGTTGATAAGTCAATGAGCGTCATATCACTTTTTTTTTTTACTACAAAGTAATCTTCTAATGAAATTAAGCATTGTGACAGTGCATAAAAATATGGCATAAAACTACACAATATATCTTAAAGCTGCATTCATTTCACTGTTTTGTAATTATTTTTTCTGGCTATTCACTGTAATGAACAGTGAAGTCTACAAGCAAGCAAAAGGCAAAACAGACACGTGATTTCACTGATAATGCGCCTATAATGCATTTTAATGCAATTTTCAGTAAATTTGAATCTGAATATTTTCAAACCATACCTGTCAAAAACAATAATAATTGTATTCAAAACCAGTTGCATGCACTGTGTCACATTCCACTCGGGGAGGATTGGAACGAGGAGACGCTGGAGAATACTTTGACATGGAATTTAACAGAATCAGCAACGGGGAACTCATGGAAGACGTTTAACAGCAGACGAGAAATACTGGGAAACACAGGGTTTAAATGAATGAACAGACACCAATGGGACACACCTGGGAGCAAATGAACTAATTAATCGAACAAACACAGCTGGACATAAATGAAACCAATGAGGACAGGACACAGGAAGAACCAAATAAGGGCAAACAGGAACACCTGACACACTGACGCTCAAATTAATCATTCAACCTAACCCAAAGTTTTATTATAAAAACTATAAAACATTATTATGAACTGATATTTTATTAATTATAATGTATGCCAGGATTTAGAGTAGAAATAAAGCATGGTCATATTTGTTGTGACCCTTGAACTTAGTTCAAGACTGAAAGGATTAAATTTGACCTGTGTTTATAATCTCGCAGTGGAACAGTTATAAACACAAACAAAATATACATTCAAACTATCCACATTAATTATAAAACGCAATTTAAATGTATTATAGCAACATAATCCGTCCTCTGTAATATAAAAGAAGCGGGTTTCAAACTGTTTAGCTTCTAATTAAACACAGTTTTCAAAATCGACGGATTTAAACAACAAACATTGTTTCGCGTTTTTAGTAAACGATATGTTAAACATAACCGTGCAATCTATCGTACAGTCCCAGCTTTGCATGTTTTCACATGTCAAAATATTTAATTGAAATTCATAAACGTACATTATATCACATATGGCTTACTGCGTACTTACATTTACAGCCGGGCAATCGTTTGCATTTCCCAAACGCTTAGAATATCGAATCACTCATCTACATATGTTGTATCGTTTGTACGTCCGAGCCATTTAGTTCTTTGAATGGAAAAAACGTGACTTTCAGCGGTTTTCAAGGCGCTGGAGTCCGTCAGTGATGCGCAACTACTTCAAAGCAGTCCCTCTAAACTACTGGTTGCATCCCAGACACATTCTGCGCTGTGCTCATAGGAGAAGAACCTATCAGTGATGATTCAGTGGTGATTGGAGGGAACAGGCTTGGAAAGTGGCATCTCACATGTTTGGAAAATATACATTGAATCACAGTGGCATGTAATTATCACATAGGCACATCATACTACTTATCCCCATAGGCTATTTATGCCATATGTAAGCAAACCCTGTCTGTCATCTCTTTCTTTATATGTCATGTCACTTTGACCAAGAGGTTATTTCCTTTGAGGCATGAAATTGTATTTTCACATGCTCGCCCACTTACACCTGGCAAATAAGAAATGTTTGACATTGCATCATTTGTGGATTATACCAGAGCACTCTAGGGAATAATGCGGTATCCAGTGCAGAAATGCATTCACTTCTTCTAGTGGGTTGTTAGAGGCTGGATACTGCAATTTTGGGGGAAGCTCCAGTTCCAGCACCCACGGAACTGGCAAGTCTTCATAATAAACCCGCTTACTGCTGCTCTCCAACATCTAACTGCCAATAGGCACATAGATCTGATTGCAAGAGATTTCCTTTTGAAACTGATGGATGCTTTCATGGTATATTTCAGAGCTGAATATGTGTGCAGATCATTGTACGTTTGGCTGTAGGCTATTGAAGTTTTGAGAAGGTAAGTTAACTAGCTATATTAAAAAAAAGCCCAGAACTTATTTGTGGTTGAAAACAGCATATCTTCTCTGATCTATCTTCATCAAGCACCTGCAAGTCCGTTGGTGCCAAAGCTAATTGACTGCATACCCATGCACATCAGCATGTTGCCTGTCAGATCAAACATTACACAAGATGCATTCAAATAGGATCCTCCCACAATGCTGCAGAATGAAAAATTGTTTCAGGGTTGCATGCCAAACGCTATGCTGTTCCTGTCCAAAAAGTTATCTGCTCGCTCGTGCAAATACAAGCAGTGAAGAAGGCTTCCCGCAACACTCCGACTCAAGACATTTAAATATGTCCTTTAGTATATCACCCCATGAGAACAGAACAGAGAAGTTCATTATTCAGTATGAAGCGTGACTTGGGACAGAAACTACACCACATTAAAACAGGCAAGACATTAATCGTGTAAATCTAATGGATGGCAAAATAAACAAAGACAATTGTTCTGACACATTACCATACAGAACAAATAAAGCAAAATAAAAATATCTCTCTGTATAAAATAAAAATATCTCTCTGTACTGCACTTTCTGGGGAGAGACAAGCCGTCAGCTCCATTTGTCAACTCCAAACTTATAAATGTGACTAAAAAAGACATGTACAATAAATGTTTTATTCAAATGCCTCTTGCTTTGCTGCCTGATGTCAGACTACTCACTGCGTTTTGAGTTTTAATTGCCTGCAAGTAGTCCACTGGGACAGTTCCTCATTTTGTTTGATAAATCTTTAATTGTAGGAAGCCATGCCTTCTGTTAAGTTGAACCTGAGCCTAATTATAACTAATTATAGCAAGCATGAATAATTTATTTAACATTTTATACAATTATATAAAACATGTAATCACTCAAGTACTTTTTTACTGTTGTTTCAGTGATTGCACTTGAATTGCACACAATTTTGAATAATTTAGCTGAAGAAAAAGTTTAAGGGCAAGAAGTACCCATTTTAAATTGCCTAAAAATATGCTAATTGTTTAGCTTGTGCAAGAGCTGAGGACATTTCCTGTGAAGACACATATAGGAAATAGGTGGAAAAAGATGAACCACAGTAAAATAAGTGGGGTACAACTGTAATAGCAAAAAGAAACTGAGGCAACAACTGCATGAATTATTAACTGCCCCTGCTTGAGACCTGTCAAGAAGAGAGTGAAGGAGAGGAGGGAAAGAAATGACGTTTAAAACTCTGCCCAGGTTGGCTGACATTGCTCGATCAACACCTACAGCACTCCTAATGCCATCATCTCGACAAGGCAAGACCGGTCTCTAACATTCTAAGCTCACAGGAGGCTTGAAAGTAAGCTGTCAGGCACTTTGCAATCTAGTGCTGCCCACTCTCATCCTGGCAGCTTCTTGGAAAGCCTGGAGACCGTGCCATATACTTGATGCTGCGCCATTCTCTTGACAAAATGTCAGCGGCATCCCTGTTGCTGTCTGTCTGCCCGTACCACACAGGGCAGTTTCCTTCATTGTGGGGGACAGGAGTTCCTGTGAAGGTTGAAGTTTTGGAGCTCTGAGCCCGTGGCTGAGCGGATAGACTGCGGATAGCGAGAGCACCATATGGTAAAGCCTCAAGCCCAATTCTGACATGTATAGGGTAAAAAAAAACTCAGGACTTACGTAAGGATGTGACAGAGCGAGGGCTCTCGCTTGGGCCTCTGAGTAATGTGAATCAGGAGATGGCAGGAGGTTTCAGGACAGTCTGGTGTCGACTGGCAGCAGTGCCCTGAGTGTCCTGAGCTGTGTGCCACCCACTGCTGCCGCAGCGCCTGATAACAGCATGTACGAACCCTGCCTCATTCCCTGGCCAGCTCCCAGGAGGGATGAGCTTATGAAGCGCTTTATATACAACTCTGCACTGGCTCCACAAATTCTTCACAACAACAAGGGATGTTGATGTGATATGTTGTCAGGATCGATGCTTGGAAATGTTTCTCCTCATTCTGTCATTAAACGGCAAGAAACAATGTCTCCAAAGCAGGGGGTGGGGGTGTATAGTTCAGCATAAAAGAAACTCACAGCAAAAGACAGGAAAGCTCAATGACAGGTGACAGCAATTACTGTACAATCTAAAAAAAGCACATAATGTGGATGCTCTCCTATACTCTCGCTTACAACAAAAGGGTTTTAGAATGATCAAACAGCTTCAATAAACATCAAGAGCACCTTATTTTTTTTTAAGTTCATCACTAGTCCATACAATACAAGGATAGCTAAAGATATTTGTTGTGAATGAGAAAAAGATAAACAACTGATTACATGTTTTTCAGTTACTGAAATGATTAGGTCTATATATCCTTGCAAAAACAAAAGTCTATTATGACCAAAATGTATATGATAAATACAGTAAAAACAGTAATATTGTGAAATATTACTATAATTTAAAAGGTTTCAAGGTTTTCTGTTTTAATATCTTTTAAAATGTAATTTATTCCTGTGATGGTAAAGCTGAATTTCTAGCAGCCATTACTATAGTATTCACATGATTGCTCAGAATTGCTGATTTGCTGCTCTAAAAACATTTTGTATTACTACCAATATTGACAGTCATGCAGTTTAATATTTTTGTGTAAACCATGACACACTTTTCAGGATGCTATGATGAATAGAAAGTTCAGAAGAACAGCATTTATTTAAAATATAAATCTTTTGTTATGTTATAAACGTCTTGACTGTCATTTTTTATACATTTTATTTTTCATTTTTTACACCAAAAAGTAAACATATTTTTGAAGTATAAAGCTGACTTGATTTCATTGATCTGATCCATGATTGACAAAATTCATTACAATGTTTATGTAAAACTGTCCATTTAAATCAATAAATACATCTCTCTCTCTCTTTAGGGACTGGTGAATCAATCTGGTGTTATTAAAATGTTGTGTGGGATAGAAATCATTCCTCCTTCTCATCTGACCACAAGCAGAACTGCTGTAAGAAACACAGAAATTCACAGCACTCATTCCAACAAATACAGCAAAGCTTGCCAGACGTCATGATAGAGAGACAGATAAACACTATTTTGGAGTGCATTCTAGAAATAATTTAATAGTTTAAGAAATAATAGAAATGTTTAAGTGACATGGGAAAAAGTGGGGGGGAAACCTAAGCTCATAATCACTTATGACCCTAGGCCCTGCAAAAGCAAACTAATTTAGCTAATCATAAAACTTCAATCAGAAACATTCTGTGAATCTTTTTGATTGATTGGTTTTAAGAAATGTCCTGTGATATCAAACATGGACAAGGAAAAACATAATTCCATTTCACGTTCAAAAAAAAAAAAAAGACTGGTAAAGCACCTACTATAATAAAATATTTGTGAGTCATATTCTGACTTCATCAGAATACATGGCTATTTTTGAATGACTGTCAATAGAGAACATTGAAAAATTGTATTTACAGCATAGGCCCGTACTAACCAGCCAAACCTTGTCCTGCAGAGTTTAGCTCCCAGGAGGGGGTTGAAGACTTCTGCCTTAGGGTTTACTGATATTTCTTTGGAATCATGATTCAAAAGAATGAACACTTTCAGGCCAGATTTCCCAATGGCAGATTTACCTTTAGCCTGGCCCATTAACTTCTTAAGTCCTGGGTTGAGTTTAGCCTGTTCATAGGCTTTAAATTAGCAAAAGAAAAGTTATCACATTCAGTTCAGTGGTTTCCACAGAGCTAACGGGCCCTAATTAATTCTAAGCTGTCGAGTCAGCATTCCCTCCCTCATACTTCCTATGTGATAACCTGAGTTTAATGCTAAAGGGCAATGATTGCTTTCACAACGTATTATAGTGTAGCGGAGCATTTCTTGATGATGATTTCACAGCGCAGTGCATTTTCTTCTGAGAGAGATGAAGTTTACATCAGCCACAGGGTGAGATATATCCAGTCTCACATCTACTGTGTCATCACTTTTCACACCTCTTATTGCTGAAGACAATTCGATGGCCCCAAGAGCAGAGGTTTGTAAGAGCTGAAGTGTGTAATTTTTTCGATGTTAAAATATTTTCTCCTATGTCAGCTTAATAGGCAGAGACAGCTATAAGTAAGCCATTTGTAGGTTGTTTTCTCAGAAAAGACAGTGTAAACACTGTCTCTGCGACTTTATTGCAACATGTGATATCACAACTGTTTGTGAAGCATCAAGACCCACCTAACCTAGCAACATAAGTTTAACCAATGGCGTAAGCCCGAGGCGGGACTATCTTTTTGTCTGACCAATGGCAGATGAAGGGGAAAACCTGTTTGAAATAGGCCTTACTACAGTCTGTGGATTTATGTGCACAGTAAAGGTTTTTGCACAACAATTCTGTTGGGTTTATAACAAGAAG